AGTGAAATCAAAAGTGGGCGGGGTCTTCCCCACTGTGAATTTCGCGGTCCCGGTTTCTAAAGCGATTTTCTCAACTCCCCTAGCCCTCTGAGATCTCCACAGGCCAGGTGCAAACGCATGACTTGAAATCGGGACCGAGAAGATCGCTCCGGAAGCTTGGAGCGTGAATTCACCCTGGGGAAGACCCCGCCCACTTTTGATTTCCCTCCTGCGTTAGAGCCCTTTTTCGCCGTTTTCGCGCTTTCCAGTGTGGATTTTCGGATTCAGCGTAGCGAACAGGCCCGGGTAAGCACAAAATCTCAAAATCGAGTTTTTGCCCGGACACTGCCTTTAATACAGGAGGGAAATCAGCAAGTGGGCGGGGTCTTCCCCACTGTGGATTCACGCTCCCAGCGCTTCCGGAGCGATCTCCTCGATTCCGCTAGCCGCCCTGACATCGCCACCGGCCAAGTGCAAACGCGTGACTCGAAATGGGAACCGAGAAGATCGCTCCAGAAGCTTGGAGCGTGGGGAGGACCTCGCCCACCTCCTGCTCGTCTTGCGTTAGGCTAGGTTCATACCCCATGTTCCGGAACTTTTCCCGCACAGTTCCCGCACTGTGCTGGAACTGTGCTGCATGCGCTGTAGCCGCCCACACGCGTTTTGAACGGCGGAAGTTGAAGAATTTTAACTGTTTCCAACGGTTTTCTCCCAGATTTCTTTCATTTTGGCCTAATTCCTCTCCCCCGCTTCCCTTTTTGATCAGCGAAACTTCGAACTCGAAGCGGGTTGAACAACGAGCGCTTTTCTGCATTGCGAATCCGACAAAACTTGTGTTCGTGTGCTCGTCCAATTTCTCCTCGCTTTACTTTTACTCAGACCTATTCCATTTGTTCCAGGAAGCCGCTGCGTAGTTTCCAAAGTCATCTGCCACAAATTAGGGAGTGCGAGCAATTCTGAAATTGCATAAATTGGGACTTGTCTGGGAAGGCACGGGTAGTCTCGCATCTGTATTGAAAGGGACATAGGCAGGTTTCTAGAACACATGCAGTAAGCCTAAACAGAAATGAGAAAAATGGACGAGCGACATAGACCAATCTGCCGGATACATGCAACAGAACAAGGTTATTTCTTCAACCCCGCTTCAGTTTCACAGCTTCTCTCATCACAAGGAGGAGGGGGTAGAAAGAACGGAGAAGCGACCATATGGAAAAAGGAAAGGTGCTGACAAGGGAATGGTCAGAAGTCGAAGTGGCCAATCCATACAAGCTGCATACCAGTCGATGCAGCATAGAATGCTGATTTCAAATGTGTCTTCCGTATCTGCAGAGCGCCTTTGTGGGCGAAGTTATGAGCAGCTTTACTGCGAAAAAATCGTCCACAAAAACTGCGAAATTAGGCAGATCACTGCTCTTTTAGCTCACCTTTAGGTACGAGCCATACGAACTGACCTAGTTACACGTTTTGGTCCAACACTGAGCCGAGAATGGCTTTGTATGGCCAAGTTTGACCTTTACACGCACAATTTCTTAGCAAAATGATGACATTCGACGGCTTATAACTTCGCCTACAAAGGCGCTCTGCAGATAAGGAAGACGGATCTGAAATCAGCATTCTATGCTGCATCGAATGGTATGCAGCTTGCTTGAATTGGCCACTTCGATTTCTGACCATTCCCTTGTGAGAATGCCCAAAAACGAAACCAGTCAGAAAACAAAAGATTCTTAATCTATGCAATTTCAGAATTGCTCGCGCTCCCTAAATGGCAGATGGGTACGGAAACCACGCAGCGGCTACCAACCACTTTGCAGGGACTCTGCCGTGGCAGCGCACATGTGCACCCGTGGCTGATATATCTTATATATATAAAGCTGAATGTCTGTTTGTATGTCTGTCTGTCTGTCTGTATGTCTGTCTGTCTGTGTGTACGTATGTTCCGAATAGAAAATTCCATTTCTGAACCGATCGGGACCAAACTTGGCACACATACACTTCGGGCCCTGGCGGGTGTCATAGGCTACTTTTCGTCATCGATCGATATCGATTTTATCGATTTTTTGCAAAATTTGGGCTACGGGGCTGGGAGTTGGCACAGAGGGGTAATCGAGCATGCTGATCATCCCCTTGGGGGTGATCAGCATGCTCGATTACACCCCTCTGCCAAATTTCAGCCCCCTAGCTCAAATTTTGCAAAAAATTGATAAAATCGACATCGATCGATGAAAAGTGGACTGTGACACCCGCCAGGGCCCGAAGTGTATGTGTGCCAAGTTTGGTCCGGATCGGTTAAGAAATGGAATTTTCTATTCGGAACATACGGCGGAGCCGGATAAGCCAGCTAGTTCTTTTCTAAACTACACCTTTCTACGGTTTTGGAACGAATGGCATCAGCTTGCATGTATTGCCCCACCACCTTCGTGATGGGTCGCCGGGCACAAGCATGCAAACTAACGCAAGTCGTCCGTCATATACGGTATTGAGGACAGGTGCCTACTGTTTATAACGCCCCTAAAAATCATTGAGAAAATCAAATTTGAAAAAGACACTGTTGAAGCGTTGCCCATACATGCGTCCCGGAAGGGATTAGCAAGAAACACACAGTGTGGTAGGCGTTTGTATAGAATCAAGTGGTAGTATAGTCTGCCCTAATCGGGATCAGGCCAAACAGCTTGCTCGATTTGCCCACACGCAAAGCCACATATTTCAATAGTTGAAACGACCGAAAATTTTCGTTGAACGAATGAATATCGAATTATCGGCTTTTGAAAAGTATTCGAACGAACGAATATTATTCGATCTGTGATGTTCAGATTATTCGAATTCGAATATTCGAATAATGCTACATTCCAAAATCCGAATGAACGAATATTCGAATAAATGGGGTTGGTCGAATATTCGACTACTTGAATATTCGAATAATCGAATATTTCGAATAAATTATTCGAACACGAATATTCGGTTCTAACTATAGTAGGCGTGTCGCAAAAGCCTAGCTACGCGGACTCCCGCCAGGCCAATTTTGGCCTATTGGGGCTGGGGTAGACGTAGGATAAGCCCTCGTAAGAACCCTTCTGCACGAGTTTCTACTTTTTTGGAAATGTTTTCAAATCAACAGTTGATTTATAGGGGCCTGCAGGATTGCGAAAGTTGGACGTGCGTACGGCCATTGCGCCGCCCACGTCAGATGTGCGTCCGACGACTCAGGTAGGTGCCAGACTTATCCTGTTGAACAGGTTCATTCGGTTCACCACCTTTGCTGTTGGACAGTGTAGTGATTTGACCTATGAACGGAACGAACTGGCTGAAGCGGATAAGCCTGGCACCTGCCTTAGTGACATCAGACGTGCGCGGCGCAATGGCCGTACGCACGTCCGACTCTCGCGATCCTGCAGGCCCCTATATTTACCTTTCGTAGGCAATTTGCAGTGTCACAGTCAGGGTCGAGCAAGAGGGTGTGGCACACAAGCGGATACGACTCCACCCCCCCCCCCTCCCCATCTTCTCCTCAATATTCCTTCCCCCCCCCTCCCCTCTACCAGCATTATCGTTTGACTTCCGCAGGCATGACATAAAGGCTCTGTCATGCATAGTTAGGTACATATGTCAAGTTACCCCCATGGGCCAAGTCTTAGCAAATCTGCGGGTTTCCAATAGTGGACCACCCAAGCAAAGTGGTCATTTTCAGACATGATCAACTATGTTTCAAAAGTGAATTAGCTACCTTTTGATTTAACTGGCTTGGCTTCGAAAAGGCGCGGCTTCGTAACCTAGGTAATTAAGGCTAGGTACAGGGCTCCTAAATTGCAGAGTCGTTTGCACCAGCGGTCGCGCGACCGCGTCGTGCCCGGGCATCAATGGCGCCGCCTCGATGGATGGCGGCGGCGCCGGCAAAATGCACGGGCGCGACGCGCTTGCGCGACCGCTGATGCAAACGACTCTGCAATTTAGGAGCCCTGTAATGACCAGAGAGCACTTGCGCGAGAGAGACGCAGGTGCGTCGCGGGCGCGAGCGGCCTTAAAGGCAGTGTCCGGGCAGATTCGCGCCCTGGGGGATATTGCTGTGGTGGGGTTCCTGGTCACCCTACTGACCTCCGGGCGCAGTCCGGCTGGTTTATGTTCCCCATGGGCCGAGAAAGTAGCCCTTGAACTGGCGCGCGCAACCCCAATCGGCGCTAGCTCAGACGTCTTCGCTTTACCGTTAAAAAAATCGGCGCGGGACCCCACGACCGCTCTCTCGCATTTTGCATGCTATCCAAAGCAAAATTTGAAGGCAGCAGGGTCTTTGTGCCAGGGCCTCCCAATTCCATTGAAATTCTCGTCCAAGCCGACTTTTGGAAATTGGGTAAACTCCCCGAAAAAAGTCTTTTCACCCGTTTCAAAGCTCATATTCGGGGTTTACGGGTCGAAAAGGCCCAAATATGCAAAAAGATGGAAATGCAAAATCTACTGGTACACTGCCTTTGATTAGGTCACGAAGCCCCGCTTCACGGAGCCAAGCCAGTTGAATCAAAGGTTAACTCTTTTCGTACTCAATACAAAGCACTATTCCCTATTTACTCATATCGTGAATCCTGCTTCAGATAACCATCAAACTATGGAATTAGAAGCAGGCCAAAATCTCGTTTGTCCCATTTTTTGCTTTTAATGGCTGGGCTTTCACCAGCTTTTTACTCAGAAGAAGATGAATCAGCCCCAAATTATACCTACGAAAACTACAAGGCTTAGGCCCGTATGCACGTACATCCCCGCTGGGGAGGGGAGGGGATCTGAGAGGGGATGCATCATATAGTAAGCGTCGCCCAGCAAAAGCGGCTGGCTACTATCAAAACTACAGTGTTATGATAAAAGGTTTATTATCTGTCGAATAGGAAACTACATATATGAAACGTGAGAGGAGTGGATCGTGGACTTGAAAGGATGAGTGTGTGGTTGACTTCGGGGCAACCGCCCCAGCAAAGAGAGTGAGTGTCGTGGAAGCTTCCTCGCGTGCTCTGTGCGACTTGATTATATACCTAGCGTTATCATAGCACATCATCTCCGAGAGCATGGGAATCACTGTTCTCATAACACACGATAACATAGGATAACATCCTACAGCAGAGAACGCGTTGACATTCTAGTGCAAAGAGCGCTGCTCTCACACCTCCCCCATTTCCTTCAAGTCCGTCCCGGACTTAAAAAAAGGTTGGGGAAAAGAAAAAAAGGAAGACATAAATACTAACCGTGATTGTTGCCTAGAGGTAGCGCTGGAGTTGCGCCAGCGTCACAATCGAGTTGATTGATTCCGCCCATTGGTGTAGTCCAGACAGGTAGCTGGAGTAATATCTGGCGTCGTTGCTGGAAGTTGCATTGCTCGTTGTTGAGATCGGCCGGAGGCGGCGTTGGATGATCGGGAGGGTCTTGAGCCTTTTGAACCTCGCGATCCTCTTGAGGACTGCAACGCTCACGATGATTGTGAGACGCCTCTTCCTCGTTGAGGTGTACCTCTTCCTTGTAGAGGGGCACCTCTACCTCTTGGGTTGGGGTAGGTCGCCCTCGGGAGGTGGTGGGGTGTCCTACTGGAATGGATTGGCCCTCGTGCGTCGTGAAAGGTGGTAGCTGAGGGCTCGGCGCGTCCTTTAGCTTGGATGTAGAGAAGGAGCTTGGCTCGGAAGGAGAGACGAAAAAGCCAGAGCGGACGCATTGCGGCGAAAGGAGTGCTGATCAGAGGTATCAGCCTGAGATGTGTAGGTGAGATCGGCCGCATCGCCATTGAGAGTAGCTGAAAGTTGATGAGAAACATCAATGTGAACTGTGTGGGTGAAATCGGCCGTATCGCGACCAAAATCGGTGACCGACTGACCAAAAAAAACTGGTGCGTCGTTGTGGGTGAAATCGGCCGCATCGCGACCATGCATGGGCGGGGGAGCGGGTGGCGTTGTGTAAAGAATATGTTCTCTTTTTCAAAGTGATATAATCATATTTGCACCTCTTTGCATAGTAACATGACCATATTTGTACAATGACAACTTGAGCTAGCATTGCAGACTGAGTCAACATTGCACATTGAGTCAACACTGCAGATTTACCGGTCAAGGTCAGAACAAGTCACTTACTTAACGAGATAAGAGCTCTCAAGAACCTACGGAAGTTATAGAAATCTAGTACCATTTATGACTTAAGTGATCCTTTGTAAGAAAATTGTGACTGAGTTTGTACATATTCATTGATAGGAAGTGCTATATAAGCAGCTCTTTGAAATGTTTCGATATCGCATTACTTCGTACCTTCGTCCATGTGATTTCCTTCTTCCCATGGATATACCAGCCCGGTATGGTGATCCTCGGGGCCTTCCGGTGGTAAATCTTGATCTTCAGTTGTCACCGGCTGGCAGCACCGGAAGTCTCTGACGGATCCTCACGACAATTCCTCCTTTTCTCAATCATTCCCTCACAATTACTATGTGTATCATTTGACTCCATGTTTAACAGCGCCCTTTGTCATTGCCTTTTATGTTATGGTCTTGTATTGTTAGTCTAAATTTACTGAATAAAAGTTGTTGGGGACTAAGGTCGGCTACATTCGAGAATCACATTTCGAGTTATAATAATAACTGTAAAAGTAGTATCAAAATCTCACCGCAGCGCTTACGGAACAGAGCCGAACCTTACAGTTGCTTCTTCACCGGGTGCACCGGGGTCGGGAGTGAGGGCGTCAGGTGGGCCTGGTTGCTCCCTTTGGGCCTCCGTAACTTCCGCGTGGGAGAGATCCAGTGTGAATGGTTTTGGGGGTGTGGGGGTTTCCTGAGCGAATACGCTCGGGTGCCCAGGGGAAAATACAACGGTAGGAATGCAAATGGTTTGATGTTGAAGGATTTCGTCATCTAGCTAGGGGGAAGCCAAAGAGATTTGCTGTCCCTTATATAGCACGTGAGAAGACAATGAGGGATTAGCGACCAAGATAAAGGACTTGCTCGAGTTAATCACAGCGGGGCTCACCATCAGCGATTTTTCGGATAGTGGGTCCGTCTGAGCTGTGAGTATTAATGGAGAAAAGGGAGATAGGGTTTCGCATGGAACGAAAGTTTCGGTTTGAGGAGGGAGAATCGTAGTCTCCAAAACACGAACAGGTACAGGGCACGTGGGTGATGGCTGGGGAAGAGACTGAGGGGTTACGCAAAGGATGCCCACTTTTTGATCCGCGACTGAAAATGTTTTACTGTTATAGTCAATGCTCCATTGCGGAAGGCGAGACAGTAGATCGTTACCCACGATTATGTTATAGGATTCGGCTTCGTGAGGCACGCATTGTGACTCGGTGAAGTAAACTGGGTGGGTGAATGCGAAAGAGCCTATTTGGAAGCGCAAGTCGGCGACACCTAGTAGTTTTATGGGTATTCATGCCATGCCCATGGCCGAGGGGACGTCGCTGCTTCGCAATTGGAAAACTCCGAGTATAGGGGCAGTGGCTTTGGACGTGACCGTTATCGCAGCACCGGTATCGACTAATGCCAAGACGCTGATATCGTTAACCTTGATGGGTATCTGGGCAACAAAGAACCGCTGCAACTCTTCAAGGACTAGAACTTTAGGAGGGGAGAAGGTTGTTTTAGGAGGCCATACACTTGTAGCATTGATGGCTGCTTGAGCTACCTCTACTGAATCGAGCGTGTGAGAGCGGGGCTCCGCGCTGGGATTTAGAACTACAGGGGTAGGTAGGTAGGGGAGTAGGTTGCCTGATGTAGGTAAGAGAGGTTGAAGTCGGGGCAGCCAACCCGTATACATAACATTGCAATATAAAGTAAAGAAAAACTTCAAAATACGAAAGGAAACAAAAAACGAACAAATGCTAATCCATAAATCAAATATGGACCAATCGTGAAAAAGAAGAGCCGTGAGGGGTGGCGGACTTTATGAACGATAGCGCGCGCTTAGGCAGGCGTGTGTCAATAAGGTGCGCACCGTTAGCCTCGCCTATCGCAAGATGGACGAGTTTTTTGCAGTACAGCTTTAACGCTGGTTCATGGCCATGTTCCCCAGTCAAGTGAAAGCAACTTCTGATAGTGGTATAAGCTTTTATTACAGCTGGGATGAAGCTTGACTATTTGCGGAATTTTGTTTTGCTTTCTTGTTTCTTTATGCCAGTCATGAACAGCTAATGTTTTTCATGAAATTCAAGAGATTTGCTGATTTACTTATGAATGACCGAGTGACTCCTGGATATCCAACTTTGAAGTGTGAAATCAATCTAGAACACCTCAGGCATGATTGTCTGAGTGACCTCACATCCTGCGACTAGTTCACACGGAATTTCGATTGAGTTACACATCAATTATACTGAAGGTAGCAGTTTTTGGAAGCAAACAAAAGAATTTTGTCATTTAAAGCAGATTCGAAAAAATATAAGTGCAGTGTGATTTTCCTTACCCTAAAATCTGAAAAAATTTGTGTGATATCGCATATTTGCAAAATGAGTGATATCTGGAATGATATCCACGAAAGTCCATAATGGAGGAAAATGGACTTTCAAGCCCCATTTTATTCGTTCGCGGTGGAGAGTGGTCGGAATCTGCTTTCGCTCGCGTTATCCAAAAATTTTCATCCCATCGCAACCACGAGGCAAAGCGGTGAAATGAAAATGATTTAACCCTACCTGAGCTCTCGCTTGCGAAATGATGACGTCAAAAGTCCATTTAGAATGGGGCAAAATGGGATTTACCTCCATTTTAAATGGACTTGAAAGCCCATTTTACTCCCAGCAGCAAGGTGAGCTGGGACTAAGCCCATTTTTGACCTTTTTGCATATTTTTGATTGCGATTTTTTGGGAATGTGTTCCTGAACCTATCCTAAGGCAATAGGTGAGTGGAAAAAGTTTCATGTCTTTTATGAAGTCTGAAATAAGTGTTTCTTTCTAAACTCATAGAAACGCTACAAAACATAGAAAAAGATTAAATTCACCCAAATATTCGCTAACAAACCCAAATGCTTCTTAATATCAGGTCAATCAGAAAATTCTTATGTACAAATAAAGTTTGTTAACTCTTCAAATCATCAACCAAAACCAAATTCATGATTTGTAATCTAAAATTTGTAAAAAAATGTACTTCAATGTGATTACTTAGAAACTATCTTTGGCTAATTTCGTAGAACCGAACCTCAGAGACGGCATTTTAAACGCAATTTTGAGTTTGGTCTGCAAGAATTACTGAAGTGCCGCTAGCTAGCTAGAAAAATTCCGTGAAAATTTCTTACTAGATTAGTCCACATTCAACTCCTTAGAGTTGAAAGTATAGTACAGTTATTACAAATGTTAGTGCTGAAAGACAAAGAAAAGCTAATATAAAGCACTTGCGAAGTCATCTTTTGGGATTCAAAGTTTTTGCGACTTGAAAAACCCTTTGAGTTGTAGTGTAGTACAAGGTTTCTTGTGAGGAGCATTTTGGTTCACAGATTGCAGTGCAACTCCAGCCAAAATTTGCTTTTTGCAGAAATCTCCACATACGAATTCGATTTAATGCTGATTGGTAGAAGTTTTGAAGCGAAGGCCCGGATATTACATGATGTTAGTTTTGGAAGCGATTTAGATGCATAGTCATCGATAACGAATGGCATTCTATTAGGTGTAACGAAGTGGGAAAGAATAGAATACCCACTTGAGTGACATTGTAATGTTAGGTCAGCCTATTAGATATCGACCACTTGGTGGAAATGAGTTTGCAAGAGTGAGCAAACAGGTTAAGACAAGTTGGAGAAAGGTTAGTTGAAGCATTTTTGTATGGAATGAATGTATTCGCGAATGCGATATCTTATCGCACCACATGGACTAAGTCCATTTTATTCGCACGAAAAGTCCATTTCGCGGGGACTTTCGTGGATATCATTCCTGATCGTACAAAACATTATCAAATGTAATGATTTACACAAGTTATTGAAATTAGTTTGCTTGAATCAAAATTCGCCTATAATGCTTATTTTGAATTCTCATCGCAATGAAATCTGTTTTTAACTATGATTAGGGTTTCAAAACTTACTTTTCCGATAAAAGAAATAATCGTGTTGGTCATTTCAGCAATGATAATAATATTTCTCGGTAAGCTGACTGCTTTTTGAACTAAACTTTGGACAAACCTACTAGGAACAAATAACTGAAATACACTGGAAAGAGCTTGCGATAATTTATAGTGAAAAAAGACCTGAAAACTGATTTTTAATTTATGAAGTTTGAAATCTACTGTTGTCCAAATTGCAACCTACAGAAGAAGCATGAAGGAAATATTAGAGAGTTTTCCAATGGCTGAGCGCATTCCTAGCTTGATTAACAAGGGGGCGGAGCGATCAGCGCACCGCGGACGGTACCCAGCTGGCGGCTGGCACATGCTATCGTTCATAAAGTCATACACCCGCCGTGAGAGACAGTGAAGTCTCGGATTCCTGAGGGTTGATTGTGACTGGGTGTTTGTAAATGATCTGTCATATTGTAGTAGCCGTTCCTGATTGATCGAAGTCCAGATTTCCTGAAGTTGATGGTCTATGGTCCGAACCGTTGTTGACTTGGCTTCAACTTGGGGTCGGGAGGGATGAGGGCTAGCAACCGACGATTCCGCAAGTTGCTCCACCATTTGGGCGATATCCAAGGCGCGTTGGAGGGTGGATGGATTAGCTAACTCTACCTGAAGCCTAATGTGGGGGTAAACACGGGTTGAAACTCTTCTAAGGCGCGAGCCTGCTGCATTGCTGCATCTTGACCAGGTGTGGTAGCGCGCACTAACCTGAAAATTCGATCTGCAAACGCCGAAGTTGATTCTCCAAGTTCTGCTTGCATTTCGCTAAAGCTCGTCGTGCCATATTTCGAAGGTGTGGTCCCTCGTAACAGTTCTTGAGATGGGCCACTACCGCGTCATAGTCCTCCGTTTGACCGGGTTCAGCTCCTCGATTTTCTCTCGAGCTGCGCCATCAAGGAGGGCTATCAGATCAGAGGCCTTGAGCTTTGGGGATAGCGGGGTAGGAAGTGTGTTTTGGATATCTTCAAAACGGCGCAACCATACTGAGAAACGGTAAGGTCTCCGCTATTTGCCCCTGTGAAGCAGGGAATTTTTGGTGCGGGCCACTCTGGAGTACAGGATGATACGTAAGGGATAGATACTCTCGAGTATTTGGCCAACCGCAGTAAAAAAAACTGAAGCCCTGAAGCAGTGAGGTATTCACATCGTTCACCTGCTTGGCTAAGGCCGTCGTTGCTGAACGGGAATCCTTCCATGCATCTGATATCGCCTGTGCTGTGACATCGCGCAGTTCCTTAGCTTCCAGTAAGCGTCGCCCAGCAAAAGCGGCTGGCTACTAACAAAACTACAGTGTTATGATAAAAGGTTTATTATCTGTCGAATAGGAAACTACATATAGGAAACGTGAGAGGAGTGGATCGTGGACTTGAGAGGATGAGTGTGTGGTTGACTTCGGGGCAACCGCCCCAGCAAAGAGAGTG